TACCAGCTGGACATGTAACTCTAACTTAGAGGGCGAGACCTGGGCTAGAGATCTGTGTGTGAGCTCATTGACACACATGGTACTTGAAACACTGGGCATGAATGCATGGCTGGGGGAGAAAGCAAGAGAGAAAGGGGCCCAGGAAAGGTCTTGAAGAGCCTCAACATGCAATGACTGAATGAAGATAAGTCCACAAAGCAGCCAGAGCCGTAGGGTCAGAGAGTGAGGAGGGACACCAGTAGAGGGGGTTGTCCAGAAATCTAAGGGAGGAGTGTGTTTCAGGAAAGAGTGCGGTCCACAGGGTTGAATACTCCTGGGAGGTCAAGAATGGAGCCTGAAGATGCCCACTGGATCTAGTGAGTCAGAGGTCATTGGTGATCTTGGGGAAAGATGTTTCTATGGAGTTATGGGCGCTGGAGTTTAGGAATAAATAGGAAGTTCGGAAATGGAGACAACAGGTGTAAACAACTCTTTCTAGAAGCTTGATTATTCTGTTAGAGTGTGCAGTTGTGACGTTGAAATCTGTGCATTAGGATTCACTGAAGGAGGTACCATATTTCAGTGGAAAGAGAGTCATCATTTGTTCATGGGGAATCACATACTAACAGAATTGGCGCCCCCCTTAATGAATCTGTGGAGCATCGACTCTGGTGGGATTGCTACATATATCATGGCAGCAACAAGACAAATGTTCTTCACTTTGGGTATGCACCTGTAAACCTAAACAGCATGATCTGTACATGCAGATGGTTTTGTAAACAATTACTGATATAGGGACATTTTTAGCCCATTGATCTACTAGGAACAGGAAGTGACAGGAAAAGAGACTAATCACGGTGATGGATGTGTGCATCAGGATTCCTGACTCACAGCATGCGTCAGCACCCAGGTCTCAACACCATTGCCTGTGACACTTCAAACGGCACTGAGGCCACCTTAAAGCCCAGGGGGAGGGTCTGCCATGGCAACACCGGCATGTGGCATTCATTCAACTCTGACAAATGCGAACTGCGAAGGCGAGAGTGTGGGACCAGATTTTTGGAGACTGAAACATTTACTAACACCCACAGCTTTGATGCCCAAAGTCAAAGACAGAGGATTATTTCAGTCATTTTTGATCGCAGTACTTCAGACATTTTGACCCATTTGAAGACACTGACAACACTCACTTGGTTCTGAATAGGAATCAGCACTTTTTAAAAATCTGTGTGCATACGCCTCAAATCTCTTAACTCTAATTTCTGACACCCAAAGCGCCCATTTTAGAGGCGGATACTCCTCTTTCTATTTTATCCTTTTTACCTGGAAAGAATTGGATCCTGAAAAGTTGAAATACATGTCAGGAGAAGGGAGAATGTTTGAAACTTTCAAATCAGTGTTCATTAAGGTAAGTATCTTGACGGCACATCATACTGACGGCAGAGACGCCATACACTGAGAGCGTTGGTACTCACTTAAAAATGGCTTCGGGCACATTTGAAATGTACTTATTCATAGACTGTGCATAAATTAAAAGGAAGGGTTTTCAGAAACAGTTATCTGATGGTGACAGTTATCTATGTTCAGACATCTGGTGCTTGTCTCTCCTCATGCCTGAGCTCCTCGTTGGGTTTAAGAAAGATGCCAAAGCTGCCAAAATCTCTCTTTTGCGCCCAAATTCACTTTAATAAATACTTACGTCTCCATGTCTTCGGGAGGAAGGGAATGAAGCAGGTGGGCTGAGGCAGGACACCAACGTGGGCAGCACCAGAGGACCCCGGGGTCTCCTTATTACCAGGGAGAGAAGGTGACCGCCTGCCAGGGGTGATTTTAGAATGCCTGGCAAGGACCCTCGGTGGGGGAGGGTGGGAACGATGACGGACTGCAACCACAAAACTCCCCCACCTGTAAGTCAGGAATCCCTCTAACAGGAGCTAGAGATAGAATGTAAATGCTTATGGCTCTGCAAGAGATAGTTCAGAGATTTTAATTCACCCTCAGGTGTAAATGGTGCTTCCAGAAATCTGGTCAAGCCTGAAGGAAGGAGCGTGGGAGAAAGACCCAGGCAGTTGGGCAAGGGCCGAGGTGTCCTCCGGGGGCAGGCAGACAGGATCCCCATTTTGGCTTTGGTTCAGGGCTGGGTCTGACTGGGAGGGAGGCGGAGAGAGAGAGAAACTGTGAGAGATGGGAGTGGGTTCTTTGTACTCTCGGGAGCAGGGCGGTGGGTTGTCGGATAGTGGGCACGTCAAAAAGATACCACACTTTGGCTGCCTTCTCTGCAAGCCTCAGGCACTTCTTTCACAAGGACGCCTCCAACGTCTTTTCATCACTCCTGACAACTGCCATGTCAACACAGGACCTTAAAATTTGTTGCAGGACACCATTTTCGGGTATGCTCAGAAGAATCAATCCTGTCCACTACCTTCACTTTCTGAGAGAATCAAAGTGATAGTTGGTGGGGATCAAACCAGATTTAGGGGAAGGATCCCACTGAACTCTTCTATCCCTAGTTTAATATTATGGTTTTAGCATTTGCATATATCTTCTTAAATAACATTTAGGATCGTAAGTGTTTGTGTCAGTGTATACACGGACTTACCATTATTAACTTATAACTTTTATTTCTTTCAAAAAACACTTTTTTCTGAGAGGCAATATAACCTAGTGTTTAAGGGAGTAGGTCCTGGAGCCAGATGGCCAGAGTATAAATTCCAGCTCACATATTTGCTAGCCATGTGACCTCGAGCAAGTTACTAAACCTCTCTGTGCCTCACTTTCCTTATCTGCAAATTAGGCATGATAACTGTACCTGTTTCCTGTGGGTGTTATGAAGGTGAAGTGAAATCGTACATGGAAAGTCAGGCCAACGCCTGGCATGTAGTAGCACCTAATAAATGTCAGCCACTTTTGTTGATGGTTTAGGGTTTTGCTTCCTATATCCTTCCAGCTCCTTAAGCCACAGTTCAAGATGTTCCTCTGTCTTCTGTATTTCCTGCAAATTGGCCGCTGGTTATCTCAGGTTTTGTGATGTTCGTGGCTGTTGATGCTGAGTGCCTAGATCCATTAATTCACTGGGGATAGCGAAATGGTGATATTCTTTCACTTATTTTTTATTTATTAATTGGGGTACTTTATTTTAAAAATGCTTCCCTTCCGCTAATACTTGGTTACCCAGTGGTAAAAGTCAATAGAAAGGCAAAATAAATGCTTTATTCTTTCTTTTTATTTACCAGTTTTGAAAAGAACAACTATCATTTTCTGAAGATGACTTTTTTTCAATTTATTTTTTTAAAGGTTTTTTTGATGTGGACCATTTTTAAAGTCTTTATTGAATTTGTTACAACACTGCTTCTGTTTGGCCGCGAGGCATCTGGGATCCTAGCTCCCTGACCAGGGATCCCCCTGCATTGGAAGGTGAAGCCTCAACCATTGGACTGCCAGGGGAGTCCCTGAGTTCACAGCAATATGAACTCAAGTTTGAAAGCAGCTAAGTTTTAATCAGTTACAATTATTATCCTTTTTGAAGTTAAAATTGCCCAATCTTTGGCTGGTGTGAGGCTTTTTAAGTTGGCTCCTAAGTCTTTTGACATGACTGAAGTAGACTTTGATCACTTCCTTGCTATCCAATAAAACAAGATGTCCAGGCTGATCTTGTATACCTCTTACCCCAGACCTGGAATCAAACATCTCTCCAAGAAACTGTAGTTTCTTTTAGTAGAAAATGGTATTTCAAGACTACAGTCTGGTTACTATAGATGCTCATTGCTGCTAGGTTGGTCACTGTTTCTAGGCCTCTTCAGTTGACAGAGCTAGGATGGATAGATCAATTGATAGATCAATCAATAGACAGATATAAACTATCTCATGAGTTCCTACTGATACTTCCAATTCAAATTCAGGACTAAAGGATTTTTTTGTTTGTTTGCTTTTGTTTTTGTTTTTTGGCCACACAGCTTGCAGGATCTCAGTTCCCTGACCAGCGATTGAACCTGGGTCAAGCAGTGAAAGCCCAGAATCCTAACCACTAGGCCACCAGGGAACTCCCCTGTTTTTTGTTTCTTTAATCTTAGGGGGTTTTATTAGTCATGTATACTTTAGTAAGAATTAGCTAGACCCTTTCCAAATTGACAGATGAGGACAAGTTCTCAAGTAAGCTTAGGCAGAAAAGGGAAATTTAGTATAAGGATACACAGAGCCCAAGGACAGAAATGCAGACAGACCTCAGGAAAGTGGTGAAACCAGGGAAAAGAAAGTTATCAGGGATCAGGGCAGCCCTTCTCTATGGGAAGCTTCTTGCTTTTCTTTCATCAGATCTACTTTCTCCACTTCATCATCCACGTGGTTGGTAAAAGGTGTCCAAACACTTCCAGGAGATGGGCATTTTCCTGTGTTACAAACATGGCTACTGGGGGTGGAGACTAGGGAAGGAAAAGGAAGGGCTGTTCCTAGGCAAGAGGGAATCTCAATCACCTGGAGTCCGTGTCATGAGGGGTGTGAGTGCATAAAGGCTGTGGGCACAAGGGAAGGTAACCATGCTCGTGAAAAGAATACAGGATGGGGTTTTCACTTAACCTTTTCTGTATCACATCTGTATCTCTTTTCTTCCACTCCAAGAAGCCTGGTTCACAAGGACACAGGGCAGGATAAAATTAGAATATCACATAATTAATAATCTACTTTAGGACTTCCCTGGTGGCACAGTGGTTAAGAATCTGCCTGCCAATGCAGGGGACATGGGTTCGAGCCCTGGTCCAGGAAGATCCCACATGCCGCGGAGCAACTAAGCCCATGCGCCACAACTACTGAGCCTGCGCTCTAGAGCCCGCGAAGCACAACTACTGAGCCCGCCAGCCACAACTACTGAGCCCGCATGCCACAACTACTGAAGCCCGCTTGCCTAGAGCCCATGCTCCACAACAAGAAAAGCCATTGCAGTGAGAAGCCCACGCACCACAACGAAGAGTAGTCCCAGCTTGCTGCAACTAGAGAAAGCCCGTGTGCAGCAATGAAGACCAGCACAGCAAAAAATTAATTAATTAATTAATTAATTTTAAAAAAATATAATAATCTACTTTATCTCACTTCACACACACAATAGTCTCAGAGTAACATTAATACCACCACTATCAATGTAATTACTAAGAACAGTTAAAACTCAGTTTTCACATATGTTCTCCCCATTCTCTCATTTTTACAGTTTTCTGTAGCTACACTGTATGAGCATATGGCCTTTGTGCCCTATATTTTCTGTTTTAACCCTCACTCAGTCTTAGTTCTATGAGTAATCCTTTATTTAATGCTCACACCAGTCCTTAGGTTGATGTTTTTCTAGTCATTTTTATTGTCTTAATTGTGAAAATTTAAGAATATCCATCAAAATTGTATTAGTATGGTTCTCCAAAGAAATGCAACCAATAGAGTGTGTGTGTGTGTGTGTGCGTGTGTGTGTGTGTGTGTGTGTATTTATTATAAGGAATTGGCTCAGGCAATTATGAAAGCTGAGAAGTCCTAAGATCTGCAGTTGGCAAGCTGAAGACCTAGGGGAGATGATGGTGTAAGTTCCAGTCCAAAGCCAGCAGGCTCAAGTCTCAAGAAAAGCTGATGTTTCCGTTTGAGTCCAAAGGCAGGAAAAGACCAATGTCCCAGCTTAAGGTAGTCAGGCAGGAGGAGCTCCCCCTTACTCTCAGGAGGGTTGGCCATTTTTTCATTCAGACCTTCAACTGATTGGACGTGGCACACCCACATTAGGGAATGTAATCTGCTTTAATCAGTCTACCAATTGAACTGGTAGTCTCATCCCCAAACACCCAGAATAATGTTTGACCAAACAGCTGGGCACAGTGTGGCCCAGGCAAGATGACACACAAAATTACCCATCACAAACGTAGAGGGTAGGAAGACTTTTTGCTGCCCCTAAAATCAATAAGTCATTCATTCTGCCTGCTAGTTCACAAGGCCAGACCTAGTAATGGTGCTGGTATTATATGAAAGGTTGCAATTTACAGAGCATTACATGTATTATACCATGTAAATCTCCAAACAAACCATAGTCTACAGATCCAGAAACTCAGGCTTCGAGAACTAAAGCAATTTACCCAATGTCATACAGACAAGTAATGAAGTGGGGATTTGAATACAGATCTCCTGGATTTCCAACCCTGTGCTCTAACCACTATGCTAGATATCCTGGAAAGAACACAGGCTTATAAGGATAGAACGTGAAGTTTTTTACTCTGTGGCACACAGTTCAGCTGAGTGATATTTACATGCGTTCCAAGCCTCACAGTCTCTTTAAGTATCCTTGGAAAAAAACAGGTTTAAAATAGTAGATAACTGAGAAAAGAATAAACCTGTCACGACCATTGTTTTTTGGCCATGCTGTGTGGCTTGTGGGATCTTAGTTCCCCAACCAGGGATTGAACCTAGTCCCTTGGCAGTGAACATGCCGAGTCCTAACCACTGGACTGCCAGGGAATTCCCATGACCAATTTTTAAATTTGCTTACTACAATTTAAAACTTCAGGGAGCTCATTTCTCCATTTCTAGAGTTCACACAGATTACCAAATAGTAGTATGTGGATTGTAAAAGCTATGATACTTAGAATTAAAGCAAGAGAAAAATAATTTTTGACAAAATATATATATAAAAGAGCATACATAAAATATATGTACAGTTCAAAGAGAAATAAACACTCATGGATGCATCTTTCTACCTGAATTATATCTACTAATTTCTACTACTTCTGGAAATTAGAAGTAGATGGAAACATTTAGTACATGTGTTTATCTGCAGGAGAGAGTCAAAATCGCAAAGCTGATTTAAGAGCTGGTCTGAACCTCCTAGAGACTTGTCTTTCCCAAAATGGATTCAGAGGAACCCCAGACCTGTGAAAAAAGGGATTCTATAGTCAAATAAGTTTGGAAGAGCAGTGCATATTCCCGTCTCCACCTTCCACTCAGATCTACAAGGGACACATTAACATATCAGGAAAAAGAGCCCTGTAGTAATCTTTTAAATTCTGTGTAACGCTGGATTTCCCCAACATATTTGACCACCAAAACTTTTCAGGAGGCCTGTTACCACCTGAATGCAACTTGTATTCCCCTGAGGAAATGCCAGCACAGGTGCCCACTGGTGACAGGGGCATGAATGGAAGCTTTCCTGAGCAGTGATGCTGATGAGAGCACAGTCTGAATGGTCAAATACCTCTAGACTCCTGAGAAAAGTAGAGGCTCAGGAGTTAGTGGGGAATGGGAACAAAGTCATAGCCACTCTAGTCAAAGAGATGGGCAGAGACGGGAGCCAGCACGAGATGAGCAAATTTGCTTTGCTGCTCCAAGTCAACATTACCTTCAAGTTTGCAACTTAGGTGGTGGTTTCCAGGAAGCCTATGAAAAATAAAGCATAAGATCCTGTTATTTGACTTGTGTTTTAACCGGTAAGAGTCTCTGTCTTAGTTCAGGCTACTGTAACAGAAAACAATAGACCACAGGCTTAAACAACAAACTTTCATTCCTCACAGTTCTGGAGCCTGGGAAGTCCAAGTGCTGGCAGATTTGGTATCTGCTGAGGGCCCTTTTCCTGGTTTGCAGATGGCCACCATCTCACTGTGTGCTCACATGGCAGAGAGAGAGAGAAAACTCTGGTCTCCATCCCATCATGGGGGGCTCCACCCTCATGACCTCATCTAAACCTAATTACCTCCCAAAGGCCCCACTTCCTAATACTATTACATTGGGGATTAGTGCTTCAACACATGAATTTTGAGGGGAGTACAAACATTCAGTCTATAGCAGTCTCATTAGCAATGATTGCATTAGCAATTATTGTACAAAACTTTGTTGTCCCATTATGCAACAAAAACAAAAGCAAAAATAGACAAATGGGACTACAGCAAACTTAAAAACTTCTGTGCAGCAAAGGAAACAATCAGTAGAGTAAAAAGGCAACTTACAGAATGTGAGAAAATATTTGCCAAGCATATATCTGATAAAGGGTTAACATCCAGAATATATAAAGAACTCATACAACTCAACAAACAAACAAACAAAAAAACAAATGACCTTTTAAAATGGGGAAAGGACTTGAATAGATGTTTCTTCAAAGATGATATACAAATGGTCAACAAGCACATGAAAAGATGCTCAACATCACTAATCATCAGAGAAAGCAAGTCAAAACCACTATGAGATATCATCTCACATCCATTAGGATGGCCACTATGAAAAAGGAAACACACAAACAAACAGAAAATAACAAGTGTTGGCAAGGACGTGGAAATACTGGAATGCTTGCACACTGTTGTTGGGATTGTAAAATGGTGCAGCTGCTCTAGGAAACAGTATGGAGGTTCCACAAAAGAATAAAAATAGAACTACCACATGATTCAGCAATCTCACTTCTAGGTATATATCCAAAATAATTTAAAACAGAATCTTGGGACTTCTCTGGTGGTCCAGTGGCTAAGACTCCATGCTCCCAATGTAGGGGGCCTGGGTTCCACTCCTGGTCAGGGAACTAGATCCCACATGCCACAATTAAGAGTTCACACACCGCAACTAAAGATCCTGCATGCCACAACTAAGACCTGACGCAGCCAAATAAATAAATAAGTAAATATTTTTTTAAAAATCAACAACCCCCCCCAGAATCTTGAAGAGCTATTTGCACACCCACATCCATTTCAGTATTATTAACAATAATCCAAATGTGGAAGCAACCTAAATGTCCACCAATAGATGAATGGATAAACAAAATATGGTATATACATGCAATAGAATATTATTCCACCTTACAAAAGAAGGAAATCCTGGCATATGCTACAACACAGACCTACCTTGAGGATATTATGTTATGTAAATAAGCCAACCACAAAAACACAAATGCTGCATGATTCCACTTATATGAGTTATCTAAAGTAGTCAAATTCATAGAAACAGAAAGTAGAATGGTGCTTACCAGGGGCTGGGGGGAAGGGAAACGGAGTAGTTTGATCAGCATAGTTTCAGTCATGCAAGATGAAAAAGCTGTAGAGATCTATTTTACAACAATGTGCATTTATTTGACAAGATTGTATTGTACACCTAAAAAATAAGAGGGTAAGTTTATGTTATGTGTTTTTTACCCACACACAAACAAAAAAAAAAAACGCCTTGTCTAGGAACCTCCTCAGATGCTGCTCTGAGTAATATTCCTCAAGCAGTATCCTCCAGCCAGGCCCCGGGAGACTTATTTTCCAAGTTTCTTCTAGAAAAGGAATGTAAAACTGAGTTTTCTGGGTACTTCAAGAGCAAGAATGATGGAAGAGAAACCATCCTGACCTCAGGGAGTCAGGCAGGGCAGTATGGGGAGCTGTATTTGCAAGTACGGACACGACAGCCCAAGGTACACACTGCTGGGGTGGGGAGGAAGCTGCCCTGAGGAGGGGCAGAGCTGGGGCCAAGAGCCACTCTACAGACTGGTGTGCGGCCTGGAAGCAGAGGAGGGTCACCAGGACAACTGGAAAAGCCCCCGCAGCAGTGGAAAGGCAATGTGAGCAGCTGGGACTCTTAGAGAGGGAGCCTTTAGTTCTGGGAATGACACTGCTAGAATGAATGGGACTCAAGTAGTCCAACAAGGGCTACACACCATTTTAAAATGCCAACACTGGTAAATTGCCTGATATTTAATCCTCAAGAGGGTCAAAGTTAATCACCATTTTTGACTCCTTTGAGACAGACCTTAAAGTTGAACCCTTTGACACTGTAGGTTTTCAAATTTTTAGGTCTTACTACAGGGGAAAAAAAAAAGTATATATATATATATATATACACACACACATATATATACACACATATATATATATACACACACACACTTTTATCTGTAGTATATATATACATATATATTATATATAATTTTTAAACTATGGCACTATAGAAAACATGATTTAAATGCCTTCCAAAGTAGATTGGGAAAGGAGGAATATTTCATGTATACCAGATGCTCAGCCCGGCCTACCCCCTTGACTCCATGACAGGAGGGCACCCCCAACTGCCACCCATGATTAGTGCTTACATCACGAGGAAGCCATATCTTGGGAAAGTCAAACTGTCCAAAGCGCTCACTGGAATAACACCACCCACACACTTCAGTCCTCACAATATGGGAAAGTGACTATGGACAAATCAAGGAATCATACACTTGACATTTCTAGAAATGACTAGGTAATTTGCTGTTTAATCCTGTATCTGGGAAGCCTTTCAAATAGAGTCACTCTAATGCTTGAGACCCTAACTCAGTTACTCTTCAAAAGAAAAAGGGGTAAGCTAGAGAGGGAAACATGAAGAGTTACCAGTAAGTGCCGGAGCCCAGCATTTCCCACCCTTGAGGAACATACCCCCCTTAAAGGAGAAGAAAAATTGCCCAGCTCTCTGGTGTCCACTTGTTACTCAAGTAAGTACAAAACCTGAAGCTGAGGAGACTTATGCTAATACTTATTATACTGCTGTAAAAAACAAAACAAAATTACAAGTTCAAACAAAATCACAACTAAAAACCATTCAAATTAAAGTCATTAATTTTATGTGATAAATGATATTGTGTTGCTACACTGAACTCTGCCCACCTGACTATGGTGCCGACCGCAGGACGCAGGTTCTTTGAGTTCACCTTACTTCCTTCTACCAACTTCCACACCATTTTTTTTCTTTTTTCTTTTTTTTTTTTGTACTATCACCAGGGAACAGTTCTGGTGGAGCTGCTTGCGTCACCTCTGCTGTAAACGCAAACTTGGAAGCTGAGATGACATGGCAGTACTGGATTATAAGGTAGTCATTCAAACCATCAGGAATGTTATACGATAATTCGTGTAGGTTAGCATCAAAGCTGAACATTCAAAATTAGAAGATGTCCCAGAATACATCCTTGTGTCTTAAATTTTTTTTTTTGTTTTTTGGTGTCTTAAATATTCTGACAAAAACTTCCAAAGCCTAAACCTGAGGCTCTTAACTTTTTTGTACCACAGTTCCCTTTGGTGGTCTGGTGAAGCCTCAGAATAATATTTTGCATAAAAAATGATAGGATTGCAAAGGAAACCAATTATATTGAAATTTGGTTATCAACATATTAAAAAATGAAAATGTGGTATTGATATATGCTTCTTTATGAATATATTATTCACAGGATCTAGTGGCAGATCTGGTAACTCATAATTTCTAGGTAGTGATAAATGTAATTGATAGTTTGTGATATCTTCAATAACTGTAAAGTGGTATTAAAAAGTGCTATAGGGCTTCCCTGGTGGCGCAGTGGTTGAGAGTCCGCCTGCCGATGCAGGGGACACGGGTTCGTGCCCCGGTCCGGGAAGATCCCACATGCTGCAGAGCAGCTGGGCCCGTGAGCCATGGCTGCTGGGCCTGCGCGTCCGGAGCCTGTGCTCCGCAACGGGAGAGGCCACAACAGTGAGAGGCCCGCGTACAGCAAAAAAAAAAGTGCTATATACATTACCAAATGTAAAATAGATAGCTA